CTTTAGGTAAATTTTGCTTTCGCTCGGCTTCGCTAAACGCTCCGCCTCGCAAATGCAAAATTCGCTTGTCAAACAAAGTGTCACTTTTGATCCTAATAAAACAATCTACTATTAACTGTATAAAAACATTGTCGATCTAAATGAAAACCTAACTAGGCTGTCATCTAGAACGACAATGATAAAAATCACTGGTGTGGAATTTTCAGAACAATTTTTCATAAGGGATGTTTTTTATCAACGTTTCAAGTGTCTTAATATTTGCATTTTTCAAGTAATCGTGTATAATAATTATTTTGAGAATATAATACCAGTCATGATGATGGTAGTCAGCATTAGATCATCTGGCTACAGAGTGATAAATTCAGGCCAATGAATAGAGAAGGATTGCGACGAGGATTAATGATAGTTTGCAGCGAGATATCACCAGAAGAACTGAGGACAGATAAAAATAAAATGCGAGAGAGATGTGAAACGTGTATAAAGACTGAAGGAGATTTGAACGAGAATACAGGAATCTGAAGTTGTTAGGAATGGTCATACTGAGAGAAATAGTCGGTAGTATACCAAACGTTCAGTAAAACAAGCGCCAGTCACTACATTCATCTAATAATACCACATACCAAGTTTCATGATACTATACTAGATCAAATATCACCATTACACAATAATTTGATACTTACACTCAGAGAAATAGTCGGTAGTGAATACCAAACGTTTAGTAGAATAGGCGCCAGTCACTATACATTCATCAAATAATACCACTACCAAGTTGTACAATACTAAACTATGAGTATTATACAATTTTGTGTTGGTATAATATTTGATAAAGTATAGTATTATATAAGGTTGTAGTGGTATCATTTGATGATAGTTGTGACTGGCGCCAATTTTATCAAACGTTTAGTAATAACTACCATATTTTATGGGGTGGAGGGTTCAGTGGGTATACCTTGGTTAGAGTCAGGGTACTCCCACACTACCATGTTAGGGATTACACAATCAGACTAAAAAAAACTCTACCTGATCACACTCTCTATATATGACAAAGTTATAAGATTTTTTCTTGTTTCGAAATAATTTCATTGCATGGGAAACCGAAAACTATTGCAATATTATTATGTTCAAACAGGATTGTACAACACTGTAATATATGTGTAGCAAATAGCAAATAACATGAATTATTTTGAAAATTGTTTTATTTTTCATCCTTTTTTTTTGTTTCTGCTACCATAACCCCCATAATATACACGGGCAACTCCTGACTAATGACCTCTGTATTCAACGTCAAAATTCACTAAACGGTTGGTTTTCGTGCCCAGAGATATTAACTAATGAACATGTATTAAATATTATAACGCACCGTCAGGTTGCTCATCTGACTTCAGGCGTATTAATTTCGTTTGAGCTTTGAATACTTTTAATGCTAACGATTCGTGGTCAGTGACAGCACGAAGTCTCAGCATGGGTTACACTAAAAACCATCGAAAAGGTAGGAATTGGTGTTCTTCTTGAATTTCTGGAGGTTTTATGCCTCAAGGAACAACTCCCTTGGCAATGTGTTCCAGGGCCTCGCTGCTCGTTGGACGAATGAGTCTTTGGAAACAGATGTTCTGCAGGTCTCCAAAGTGACCACGAAGAGGTGCGAAGCCTCAACTCGACGGGTTGATCTCGCGGGGACTGCCAAGGGAGGAACAATTGTTGATATTTCAGAAGAGCATCGTCCATGAAAATATCTATAAATTGGAGCCATATCGCCAACTTTTCTACGGTATTCCAGAGAAGTGAGTGAGTTTGTGAGCGAGGCATCACTCGCGAGACGAATTGCCCTTTTTTGGACAGAATCCAACAGTTTCAGGAGATGTTCGGGTGCTGCACTCCAAATATGGAAACAGTATTCCAGGACAGATCGGATCTGTGCCTTGTAGATCATAAGCAGCTGACTGGAAGTGAAATAGCTCCTAGCTCGAAACGGAAAACCAAGTTTTCGGGATGCACTTTTAGCAATTGATCTCACGTGATTTTCCCAAGAAAGTTTATTGCTGATAGTGATACCAAGCATCAAAATGGATGTCTTCAAAGGTATGGTTACTCCTGACAAGCTTTTGGGCACAGTGAGATCGACCTTTCTATATGGTAACTGTATGCACCTACTCGAATAGATTCGTTATTATTTTATGCACATGTTGAAAAACTGAAAAGAGATATTCAGCTTATGATGATAGGTTTCAATGAGAAATCTGCAAAGTCCAATATTTTTCATCCAATATATTTTCTGTTTACATCATCAACATCATCTTTTGTTTGGAAGGACACAAAGTTATTTCATTCTCCACATACTCCGCCGCTGTTCGCAAACACGAACTTTCTCGTGCCATTTAGAGGCTCCATCAAAACGCCTAAGGCCAGCCAGGATGACCATCAATTTGAAAGTTTTGAAACATATTACAGGGCTGGAAATTTTCCCAGATAATACCTCCATATTATAATTGCTATTTAATCACTAGTTTCTTCGATTTGAATGCTGGCCTGATCTCATTTGCATCATGGCTGTCAAGAAAGGGGATAAATTGACTTGTCTAAAGAGGATTATTTTGTTCTGTAATGATTCCGATGTGTGAGAACAAGAAAACTATCAACTTCAAGAGTCACATAGGAAATTTAAGACAGGGAATTATCATAGGATAAAAATTAAATGATCTATGAATTTGAGACAGGGAATTATTAGGATCAAAATTATATGATCTATAGAATACAACTGTACGAAGGCGCTGAAGGGCTACCTATACTTTTTTTTTTCGAATCCCGACTTCAAAGTCAGACCACCGACTTTGATCTCGGGATCCTGACTTTTAGTTTATGTTGAAATCTTGTTGTTATTGTTGTTATAATGAACAAATTGAATAGTGTTATTACATCTCAGGCACTCATTCCAGGAAAATATAATTGCTAATCTGGTGACTATGTCTACAAGAGAAAGAGATGAAGCAACCGCTAACAAAATGTTGCCAAGTTAAAGATACCTCTTTCCCAGCATAACTTCACTGTTCTTATTTCTCACTATCATTGACAAGAAGGCAGTGCATGATGCTTGTACTAAAAACAATAGAAATAGAAACAAGTGAGCAATTTAGTATTGATGGATTCAGAATTTGTTTCCCTATGGTAGATAGTTATATGTAGGTTCATAATATGTGATTACCTGAACTTTGAAAGTACTTCACTGGAAGGGTTATGAAACTGAATATCATGAATGTCTGCACTGTAATTCAATACAAAATGAAATGTATCTCACAATTTTGAATAATTCTCCACATTTTTAATAACACGAATTTGAGGGGGAAATAGTTTTTAGTCGAGTTATCTAACAGCATCTGTATCATTCACTGAAATGAAAAAATTGAGGAACGAACGACTAATTATGGCTTTCTGTCCAAATTGGCAGACATTGTCAAGTCCATCGTGCTTTTTATTGGCACCTCCAAGAAGGTCGGGAATTACCAATCCAAATTATTGATCTTGCATGTCTGATCGGTGCTGATCGTTTGAATTCGCTCGTTCCTCATTTTGGCGTTTTCAACAATTTTTCATACGATAAATTGATGGAAAAAAAAATCTAAAACAAAGATGTAATGTTTTATAGAGCCATATATTTCAAGATATATTTTTTTCAGGAATGACTGGAAAGGCCCATCAGGAAAGCTTAAGTTACTTCGTATCTGGTGAATCACTCTGTTCCAAGCTGTTTGCGAGTTTCTAGATATATTACTCTCAAACTCCCATTATTTGTGTTATAGTGAATGTTAGGAACTTCAACGAATTCATCCAGCACAAGTTCGCTGAGTTCGAATATCTCCTTCTAATAATGACTAGCGAAGCTTTAAGCAAATCCCCCAAAACAAGCAGTATCGAAATAATGTAGGAAGCTTCACAAACGATAAGATTTCCAGAAAATTCTCAATAATGAGACATCTTTTGCTAATTCAGTAGCTTCTTCAGTGATTAGAATACTTGGATACTTTATCGAGTATTCCACTTGAAGGGGCTATACTGTGTTGACGTTATAACGTTTATGAGAACTCTATTTGTGATTCATATTTCATCGTTAGAAAACAACACTCTTCAAATAAGGACATATTAATAATTCTAATCCACCTTTTTGTGAGCAAGTGAAATAAATATAGTATCTAATTATAGATCCCTGTGTTGGGTAATTTTTATAACAAAAGCTCTAAAGATGCTAGGCTCTTTATCAAACGGTCGATGAAATACTTTCATAGCACCGAAATTCCTTCATCGAATATTACAAATTGTGTTATAGTTATTTATGTATTAAGGGAATTATGAGGGCCTTAATTACCGATGGCAAAGTTTGCGTCCCGAGGGCCTCTGGCCCGAGGGACAGCAATTGCCAGAGGTTATTGAGGCTCTATAATTCCCGTGATACATAGATAATTTTATTTCTGACTGATTTCATTCATTAGATACCTTCCCGATTGGAAGTTAGACATGTTTTTCCGTATAGTTTCAATGTCATCAGAACGTCAGATGATGATCTTGACTACCGCGAATAGGAGATTCCTTATTGCTACGTTATTGCGTGGTTGTTGCTATGCATTTCTTATTTCATTTTAGCTAGAGGGAATTATAGCATCTATAACATCCCAAGGGAGTTATGACCCTCATAATAGATATCGTAACTATGACGATATAAGCTTATAATGTCACTGTCAGAAATAAACAAATTTTCCTCCATCATGATTTCCAAACCTCCGATTGCCAATTTCGATTGAAATCAACATGTTATTTTCTTATCGTCCTGAAACAACTGCTATTAGCAACTTTCCAGGAAAGCTTCCTCCTACTGGTGGAGGACAGCTACCAGTTGAGAAATACTTCTCATTATTGTCATCTGAGTATTGAGAATATCACAGAGCTATATATCGCTTTGTTGACAGAATTTGACTAATAAAACGCAACTGTGTCATGACTCTCGACTGTCACTCACATCAACCACAAATTATCAGTGTCACTCATCATCATGCATCAGAACATCGTCTCAAAATTCTCAGTGAAAACATAAAATGAAGCAAAATGCCTGGCAGAGAAATCGTCCAAATCCACATCGGTCAAGCTGGAGTCCAAATAGCCAACGCATGCTGGGAACTGTACTGTCTCGAACACGGAATCAAAGTCGATGGCACTCTATACGAATATGACAAGGCAGACACTAGCTACAGCCCTTTCTTCAACGTTACTGGAGCTGGACAGGCGGTACCTCGAGTGGTGATGATCGATCTAGAGCCTACGGTGATTGACGAGATCCGAACTGGCTGGTACAGGCATCTGTTCCATCCAGATCAGTTACTTACTGGGAAGGAAGATGCAGCCAATAATTACGCTAGGGGAAAGTATGGAATTGGAAGGGAAATGTTGGATCTGGCACTGGATAGGACCAGGCTGATAGCTGAAGATTGCGGTCACCTACAGGTGAGTTGTGACTTTCTTAATGACTCGCGAAAATGCCAGATGTTTATTTATATCGAACTACTGCAGTACTACACCTTTAACAATTGTTATTTGTTCAGGGAGTGTATCATTCGATTAGGATTGGTTAATTGCTATTCGAAAAGTGTTAATCGTATTTCAAAAAGCATCATTTTTGAATTCATGAAGCAACACTCTACTCAAGCACATCTTAGGAAGAAAGAAATAATGAATTCTTGAATATAAAGAAACTTCCTAATATTTCCTCACTAACAGGCATCGAATGTTAGAATGCACTAGCTGTAGCATGTTGTGGAGCCTGAGCACAATCACTCGATCAAATATGTACCTGAGATTCACATTTCGGTATTTTCTATGAACGGACCTTCAACTAGAGTAACTCGAAGACTTCATTCTGGACCATATTGTTTCTTTTGAGATCAATATCAAATTCAACATTGGAGAGTATGATGGATTCAACGAAGAAAACTCTAACAGAATACAGACGGATTATTTGTAGTTGATTTCTTATAATGATTTACAGTTTTTGAATCACTTGCTACACTTCCTCATCAGTGGTTGATCAAGAACCCTCTGCTTATAATTCATTGACATGTTATATGCGTGTTTCTCTCCTAGGTCTACCCATGGATTTGAGGTTGAATGTATTTTGAACAAAGTTTGTCAGCTTGTGTGCTACAATCGTTTGAATCTCACTTGAATAAACTGTGAACTTTTCATTTCCTGAACTCGCATAAATTCTTCGTTTGCTACTGATGGGGGTTGGTTCGATACCTAAGGTGATGATAGTCCACTTTCAGTACACATTCTTCGGACAAATCATTCACTATTCCGAATAATTACACATTTTTTAATACAATTTACCTACTTATCTGAATCACAAGTTGCAGTTCCTGTTATCATTTCATCGACCTGTATTCAATAAAATCATTCCTCAGTGGAGTACAATTGAATGAGATTCCGTATATCCGTGAGTTGATAGTACCATCGAAAGCATTCATCCAATATAATAGTTCAATTTGAAACGGAGTATGCCTCTGTCATATAGGTCGCGTGCACGATGACCGACCCTGGAGGCAAAATATTGAAACACAACCTCATTCTTCTGTAAATTATTGATACACAATCTCACTCGTTTACTTGGTTACAGTGGAATCAAAGGATTGATATAGTATTTCACAATATTTTGGCATACGAATCAATTCAAGCATGCCTTCGCATTGTGCTGTTGTACAATGCACAAAAAATGCAGCAAGAGACTAAGGAATATGATTTTTCAGGTGAATAGTAATCTCACATAGTTATCATTATGAAATGTTGTCATTCCTTATTAAAATTCCTTCTGCCTTCTGCCACTCCTGCAATACAAGCTAATACTGCTAATAGATTGAAAATGTCTACAACACACACGATCGTCAGCATGTCAGACCAGTCCTCCCGATTGATTGCATGAATCCAATTTTCTGGCATTATTTTAGAAAGTTCAGATGTATTTCTATCAGCTTCTATCGCAGAAAGAATCCCGATGAGGAATCAGAGAAATCACCAAATTTGAAAAATGAAAACTATATGTGAGTGACTATAGTAGGTACTTACTTTTAAATCATATTGTACCAACTGGATTACTTCGTCTTCCGCTGCAGTTTTTGTGCATTTCACAACAGCATAATGTGATGGCATGAGCGAATTGATGAATAGCGGAAAAATACGATTCGTATGCCAAAATAATTGTGAAAAACTATTTCAATCACTTGTAAACAAATAAGTTAAGTGACGTTGTGTTTCAATATTTTGCCTCCAGTGTCGGTCATCTGACAGTTCTTGCACGCAACCCATGGTGTCCATACTATAAGGTTCATATAAATAGCCTTGAACGAATCAATAGACGTTTCATGAAATATCTATCATTCAAGGAAAATGGTGTCTACCCTGCTGTAGAAATATCTAATAATGCTCAATTGGGGAGATATAACTTCAATTCTCTTGAAAATAGGAGGAATATACCTGCTCTGATATTTCTTAATAAGGTAATCCAGGCCAAAAGAGGCTGTGAAGCTCTATTAAGCATGCTCAGTTTTCATGTTCCAGGCAAAACAATCTATTCTACTTCGAAGTACCTAGAACACAATACATGTACAAAAAAACTCACCTTGATACAGAATTTGCAGCAATTTCAAAAACATCAATGAGAGATGTGCCATTTTCTCTTGCAGCATTGCTTCGTTGAGAAAATCAGTTTTCGAAATCATTTTTTACTGCTATTATGTTCCATTTCTTCTCACCTCATATCTTCATTTGTATTCACTCGATTAGTCTATAAATTTTTTTTGTACCTATAATTCTCCCACCCTGTAAATGGGTTTCTGTTTGGTGGTGTACAATAAAAAAATTAAGAAATTTTTTCAGGGTTTCATAATCTTCAGAGCTTTTGGAGGAGGAACAGGCGGTGGTTTCACCTCCCTCTTCTTGGAGAATCTAGGATCCGACTACAAAAAAACCAGCGTCTTGGAGTTCGCCGTCTTTCCATCTCCGAAAGTCTCAACCATAATCGTCGAGCCATACAACGCGGTTCTAGCAACCAACGGATCAATCGAACACGAAGACGTGTGCTTCGTCATGGACAACGAGGCAGTCTACGACATATTGAATAGAAGTTTAGATACTCCGAGACCAACTTACACCAACCTGAACCGACTCCTAGGTCAAGTGGTTTCGGGAGTTACCGCTTCGCTGCGCTTCGAAGGGGCTGTTAACGTGGATCTGTCTGAGTTCCAGACGAATCTAGTTCCCTATCCGAGGATACATTTTCCGCTCATAACGTTTGCCCCTTTCATACCTGCGAATAAAGCATCCCACGAGCAGTTATCTGTGGCTCAGCTTACCAATGCCTGTTTCGAACCAGCAAATCAAATGGTGAAATGTGACCCCAGGAATGGTAAGTCCATCACCACCACTCTATGTTTTAATCTCTCGACTTCATATTCTCCAAACCTTGTGATGAGAGGAATCATCTCATAAAGGTCAACTAGTGATATAAAATTCTCGAAAAAGTATTTTTGGGAACATTTCCCGAGCACGAACGAGTATGAACGAGAATAAACGAGCCTAAACTAAAAAAAGAAGAGAATTTATGTTTGGGGTGTAATAAAGTATTGAAAAACAAAATTTTCGCGATTCTTTCTGAAAATGCTCAAGATTCTCAAATTGCTCGAAATTCATGTAATGCTTCATGAGAAGATAATGATCCATTTTTTAAATGGCCTTCAACCTTTTATCGATAACTTCATCTTAGACACAATGTATGAATAATTATCCCAGACAGCACCAGATATTCCATGAATCTCCCTATCATATTCCTTTTGGAATATTGGAATATTCTAGAGATAATCTGGAATATTCCGGAATATCTGTAGAATATTCTCTAAATATGCGAATGGGAATTCCTCAGATAATCATAGAATATACCCAAAAGAATATTCTATGTTGAATGTTCCTGGAATATTCCAATAAACATATTCTAGAATTAAAAAAAGTGACCCAAGTAGGGATCGAACTCGTGACCTCAAGACTATCAGAGCGACGCCTTGACCACTAGGCCAGTAATCGAATTGAATAATGTTATACATATCGAGTTCTTGTGAGAGCATTGTTCGAAATCGGATCATAAACACTTTTTGTTTCAAAATCCCCTTACATCTAATTGATGTTCGATACTCACATCTCTGAAATAATGAATGTTATTTATGTGTTGAGAAACATAGGGATATTCATGGAATATTTCATGAATATACACCACAGAATATTCAGTTGAGAATGTTTCATGAATATACCGCACAGAATATTCAGTTGGGTATATTTCATGAATATACCGCACAGAATATTCAGTTGGGTATATTTCATGAATATACAACAGAGAATATTCAGTTAGGAATATTCCTGGAAGATTCATACCTGAATATTCCCTGAACATGTCCGACTATTCACTTTGGAATATTCATTTTAGATGTTCCAGAGGCATGTATATATTCTAGGAATAATCGATGAATATTCGGAATATACTCCTCCTTTTTAGCATATTTAGAGAATATTCTATGAATATCCAGTGCTGTCTGGGATACTTTTCCTTGCACTACCTACGTAAGGCAATAGTCATGAGATACAGGTACTTTCTAGAACAACAATTTTATTGTTTTCCAGTATCTTTTGGCCCATTACGGATTCGTGACATTTCACACAATTTGTTAAATGCTAGATTGAATGATTTGCCATTCGTGTGGCATGCTGGCTGTATTCAAAATTATATAGTTCACAAGAATACACATCATTACCATCTCGTTTTTATAAAGTTCTTATGAAAAGAGACATCAAATGCCTCGCAATTCATTCTGGGCATATTACTTTGAATATAATAGTTCTTTTTGTACCTAGACTACCTTTGTTTTCAGTTCTTGATCCCCAAAGTATTTCGCGCACGAGTTGCAAACAACAGTTTTTCTACAAATATCAAAGAATATCGTTCTAAGTCGTTATTTTATTTATTATGCTTAGCTCGAGGCTTAGCTCAATATGAAGAATAGTGTTGAACTGGATTGAAAAGCGTTAAAAAGCATTTATTATTCTCAAACATCCAGAAATAAATGATATCTTCTTGGATGTTTGCTCCATTGAGTACCATGAAGGTTATAACACAAAAATCTCATATAAACTGCTCAACACATGAAACGTAAAATCGCATTTTTTCGATAGAATTTGAATCATCATAACTTTCGATTTCCTCAACCGATTTTCAATTATTGTTCAGTTTCTGAAAGCTCGTTTTATCGACTATCGAATCTATGGATATGACTATCGGATCTTCTCTGGATGAGATTCTACAGGATGATAATCAAAACTGTGCATTTTTCCAAAAACTTCAAACGTCTCCCATTTGGAAAAAGAATTTTTTTATTCATTTTTGTGGTCGAAAACATATGTTTTCTCGATACTGTGAAATTTTTTTTGAAATTGTCACACGCGTTACTGAAATATGAATGTTTTATTAAGATAATGCATAATTTGATGCTCTAATTTCTATTGGCCTTGTGATCCTGTCAATCTGGTTCAAACAGTGGTAAAAAATCTTGAAATGATGCATGATCAACCTATTTCTATACACAGGGTGGTCCTCCACCAAAAAGTATGGCATCAAGTAATTAAAAGAATCTTGTTTTGACGAGCAGGAAAATTTCGAAGCAGGAAACCGATTGAGAAGTTTCCTGGCGATCGAAGCGTGTAGGAGATATAGAGACATTGTAATGAGGGCAGTTCAAAGACTGATGGAAGCTTTCCTCATGACTGCGTTCCATTTAGCACCAGTACGTCCCCAAAACGTACTGAGAATGTCCGGGGATGTCCAGATTCCGCGCATTTGTACATCCCCAGTGTAGTTCCTGTTGTGCATTCACGACCTCGAATTCCTGGATCACCGTAAACTTGCCTTTTTTACTCAAATAGTTGATAAAAAGATCTAGATAGAGTAGGAAAGAACTTATTCTGAATAAAAGATTCAAACAAATGCGTTCCTATTCACAACCATATATGTAATGTTGTCATTACTAACGCCATTGAAGGTTGGAAAGTGCCACATTACACACCTCTACTTCACACCATTACATCCCGCACAAACTACTTGCCGCCCTCACTTACGTAATATTTTAGGATGTTGAGTAAGAAACAGAGATTTATTAATTTTGATCGAAATGTGATGGTTGTGAATAATAGTTATTTATGTATCAAGGGCGTAAAGTAGGCGTTTATGGCCTGTGGCGTGAATAATGGCCCGATGGCGCTAGCCGAGGGCCATTACACGCTGAAGGCCATAAACGCATTTCACGCACGAGATACATACGAAATTTTATGCACTATTGGTTTATTTTCTGACTCATAAGTAATGACCGGTAATGACTATAGATTTCGATTAACTAATATTCCCCAGGATTTAATTTGTTACGTATAAATTCAGTAATCAAGAGAAGCGTAATGTTCATGGTTAATTTACATATGAAAATTATCGTACGAATATTGCAATGATCGTAATAGTAAAACTCTTTCAGCTCTAGAAGAGATTCATTCTTCAGAATTTTACAATATGCATACCCAGTATATAAACCTAACTTATTTTGACGTTGTCAATCAATCTGATGGTTGTTGTCTATAGCAATACATCCAATAAACGAGCTGAATTGTCTTTCTTCGATTGAAAAGTAAAATTAGTGATAATAATAATAGCGAGACTATGGAATCGGATGGAGAAGAAGTTTATGATATACCGCTGGATATATCAGAATCTAGGAATATGATCATAGGTTTTTCATAAATTGATATGTGGATATAAGGTGACTTAGAACAGCGGGCGGTAAAGTGTACTTTACGGCCCTTGGGCCATAATGTGTCCACGGGCGGTTAAGTGCGACTTAACGCCCGCAAAACCGGGCGGTATAGTGCACTTTACGGCCCGCTAGTGCATAAAGTAGTATACAAACCTCGGTAGGAAATTTCATTCCTGTCTCGAGGTCATAGCTATAACCTCGACGCCTTGCGTCCCGGTTAACTAACTAACCTCACGACAGGAATGAATCTCTTCCCACCTTGGTGTGTAATTCACTATTTCATGTTCTTCGCCCAGTGGGATTTGAAAAGGTATAGATTCGTCTATGAAATATGAATTCCTCATAACGTTCACCCTGTCCCAATAATTTTACAACCCAAATCCTGCATTCGAGTGAGAATCAGTGTATCCTCATCGAATATTCATTTTCAGGCAAGTACATGTCCTGCTGTCTCCTCTACCGTGGAGATATCGCCCCAACTGATGTCAACAACGCCATCAGCAACATCAAAAGCAAAAGGTCCATCCAGTTCGTGGACTGGTGTCCAACAGGGTTCAAAGTCGGCATCAATTACCAACCCCCCATGGCGGTGCCTGGTGGAGATTTGGCCAAGACCACGAGGGCAGTGACAATGCTGTCTAACAGCACCGCTATCAGGGAAGCTTGGGAGAGATTGTTGAGGAAATTCAACTTGATGTATCCCCAGTAGCACAGAATATCGGCTGCAAATCGGCTCTGCATTGGCCCAATATTTGAATATCGTAAATCGGTCGGATGATATTGTAACGATATTGAATAAATGAGCTGGACGGATCAATATGAATACAATGTTGATAGGCTTACATTTTACAGGATCTTGAGAATCCTACATTGTATCGATATTCATAATGACATATGTGATGAAATCTATATTCCTCCTATATCCTGATGATTTATGTCTCGATATTGATAAATCTTCATGATAGATATATTGATTGCCTGATATCAGTTCATATTACAACTGGATATGTAACCTATATCGATAGAATGTATCTTGGAGGATATTGCAATAAAACATCAGGTTCAATATCGTCACGTGGACTTCTTGATTTCATATATGTATTCCATATCGAATACAAAACTGCTATTCAATGATGACATCCCAATATTCCACCAATATTGTTTGTGTGGATATTGGTAAATTATATGTATACAATAAAGAGTTGTATTCTTATGACACCATCATCTGTTTGATAATGAAGCAATATTGAGAAATGGAGATGACCTCGATATTGCAAAGATTCATCACATTGGATATCGTGAGGTCGATAAATTTATTCCATATATGTGTACCATATCACAAACTCTATATGGATTCAATGATCAAATCCCAATATCCCAGCGATATTGTTCTAGTGGATTTCATCAGGATGAGGTTGCAGCAATATTGAGAAATACAGATGATTAAGATATTGCGAAATATCATTAAGTTCAATATTGTGAAACCGACTTCCTGATTCCATATATTTGTACCATAACCAGATCCCAATATTTATTCGATGCTGTGATCACAATGTGCAAGCAAAAATATCATCCATAAATAGGAATGAAGATAATTCGATATTGGAAATAACTATTAGGATCAATATCGTGAGGTTTACTTTTTGTTTCCATTCATGTTAACCATATCAAAAACCCAAGGTCAATTCAATGATGAAATCTCAATATTAGAGCAATATTACCTATGCATATTTCAGTAAACTCTATGTATACAATATTGTGTTCTAATCTCTTGCAACTATCATCAAGATGATGGAAGAGCAATATTGTTAAATGAATATGATCATCATATTGCAAATAATCATTGTGTTCAATATTGTGAATCCAACTTCCTGATTCTATATAATCAGATCCCAATACTATTTCGATGTTTTCATCACAATGTGCAAGCAATATTATCCATCTTGAGTTCAGTCAGTTATATTGATATAATATTGAGGTGTAATCACTTGATACTATCAACAGGATGATAAAGGGATAATATTGAGAAATGAAGATAATTCTATATTGCAAATAATCATTATGTTCAATATCGTGAGTTCAACTTCTTGATTCCATTAATGTGTACCACATCAAAAACTCAGTGTAAATTCAATGATACAATTTCAATATCAGAGCAATATTTCTAATGCTTATTCCAGTCAACTTTATGTATACAATATTGTGCTGTGATCTCTTGAAACTATCATCAAGATGATAATAGAGCAATCTTTATAAATGAATATGAATTTCATATTGCAAATAATCATAGTGTTCAATATTGTGGAACCAACTTCCTGATTCCATATATTTGTACCATAATCAGATCCCAATATCAATTCGATGTTGTCATCACAATGTGCAAGCGATATTATCCATCTTGAGTTCAGTCAGTTATATTGATATAATATTGAGGCGTAATCTCTAGATACTATCAACATGATGATAATGAAGCAATATTGAGAAATGAAGATTAGTTCAATATTGCTAGCAAACATCAGGTTCAATATAGTGAAGTCACCTTCTAGATTTCATATATGTGTACCATATCAAACACCTAATATTAATTCAATGATGAATTCTCAATATTAGAGCTTTCTCGCGCACGTTCGAGTGTTACCGTGAACGACAAGACTAGTCACCACAGTTGCCATCTTGGTTTTGTCACTAAATCTAGTATTTCCAGTAGTAATACTATAATACTATAAGTACTTAAAAAGGTTAGGGCTGAATATCGATAACTTTTGTTGCATATAATTACGAAGAGTATCAGTTTAACAGTTGAAATAATCCGATCACGATGCGAAAGGATTATTATGTTGAACGGACACGATTATTTGTAATTGTGCAGAAAGTTTAAGATGCATAATCTTGAAGATTTCGAAGTTCGAATTGTATTCGATGCGATTATTTTTTGCGTAGTTCTGAACGAACGTCTAAATTTGACCATACGCTTTGTTTGTATGTAACAATATGCATTGATTAGTAAATGGAAATGGAAATAATTCTGAAAAAATGGCTGCTCCAAGATGGCGGACAAGATTTGGTCCCATTCCATTCAAAATTGGTAAATGGGGGTTTTTGAGGTCGACGATCATGATATTTTTGTTAAAATTTGTAAATTCAAGATGGCGGCTTCCAAATAAGTTTATGTTTTTGTATAAATGACGATAACTCCGTTGTTATCAACACAAAACTATAACTGCGACATGTCATCTGTAAGAGGAAAAAAAGTTATTTGTAACTAAGTCATAGTGAGCTATGAGCTTCATTTGAACAACTAAAGTTGGTGCTGATATCTCAAATTCTAGAAGAGTTATCATATTTTTTTCGAATTCACTTCGAAAAACTCCCATGAGAATGTGAAATTCCTATCTGAATATTTTCATAAATAAAGAAGTTACGGAGGAGACATGAAAATGATCAAAATTTGTTTTCTGCGTATAAAACAAAAACGAATAGATTTTATCAAAATATTTTTTCACATTATAGTTGGCCTTGACAAACTTCACATTTGGTGTAATTTAACCGACCTCGTATCTCTCACCGTTAAAAAGATACTCATCGTGAGCATGGTAAGTGGGACACACTGTATAAACAAATGCGCAAAGTGGAATAATACATAATTGGTGATAAAATGTTCATTTCAACACAAGTTATGAAATGAAACGAAATTATGAATGTATGAATAAGAGAATAGTGCATTTTGTGTTGCTTCCTCCATATCACTTGGGAATTCTGAACTTGTGCACAAATATTACATCAAACAAATGATTTTAGTTATTGTGGAATTTCAATTCAAGATACACCTAGGTAGGCATTTCAGTTTTTTCACATTATTCTGATATTCTTGTCTGAACAAGAAATGTATGTTTCTAGTATAACGTGTCTACTAGTATACCCGACAACACTGTCGGGCAAATACCTCAGGTCATAGAGTGACTATCTCTGCTCGACACTCACTAGCTCAGTTCTTTCAGTTGTCTCATAGAGTCTTCAAGCGTGTGGCGTGGATCGCGAGTGGTATATTATAACAGTGGTGCAAAAAATAATAAGGTAAAATTACTTATCCCAATTATTGATACTAGTTCAACTTTGATACAATTTTGATTATGTTCTTTCTTGCCATACCATGTGCTGATGCTGCAAAATCCAAAAATTTTTTCGACCCCTCGATGCCCTCGTGCAGTTTGGTAGTTCAGTCAGAAAAATGTTTTTACCTACTTACTATGTAACAAGTATAAGTTAACCTATTGATATCATTCGAGTACTAAAGTCCATGTACCTAAGTAAAATCGTAGATACTTTCTTGTTACGTACACATCAGTGTTCGCCATAAGTTATCCAGCAGCACACACAATGTGTACCTACTCATTTCAGCACGATATCGAAACAATATTGTTGAGAAGTTATTGGCACAATATTGGGAAATAATGATGGAATAATATAGGATCCCTAGATTTGACAAAATATTGTACCTACATACCTAAGTATTGAAGATGCTTTATTAATAACGATAATGCGATTTTCGAAACATAATGAGTATTGTTAGATGATGAAACTTCAATAGGTACCTAGATCTCGGGGTAGGTATATACAATGTGTTCCATTGTCGATGATTTTCTCAATTGTCTCATTTCAGCACGATATCGAAACGATATTGTTGAGAAGTTATTGGTACAATATTGGAGAATGATGATGGTATAATATAGGATCCCTAGATTTGGCAAAATATTGTACCTACATACCTAAGTATAGAAGATGCTTTATTGATAACGGTAATGCGATTTTCGAAACATATGAGTATTGTTAGATGATGAAACTTCAATAGGTACCTTGATCTCGGGGTAGGTATATACAATGTGTTCCATTATCGATGATTTTCTCAGTTGTCTCATTCCAGCACTATATCGAAACAATATTGTTGAGAAGTTATTGGTGCAATATTGGGGAATAATGATGGTATAATATAGGATTCCTAGATTTGGCAAAATATTGTACCTACATACCTACCTAAGTATAGATGCTTTATTAATAACGGTAATGCGATTTTTGAAACATATGAGTATTGTTCGATGATGAAACTTCAATATAGATACCTAGATCTCGGGGTAGGTATACAATGTGTGACATTATCGATGATTTTCTCAGTTGTCTTTGGAGATAGAGAGTTGCGGTTTTCACATTACTAAATTATTTATGTTGGCCCTGTTGGCCCAAATTTGATACATTTTTTTTACGTATATACAGAAAATCCAAGATGAATATAAAAGAATATACAGGGTTTCCTATTCAAACATAAAAAGTTGAGGTTGATTCCGGTTGAAACGGAAGTGATTTTATCAATAAATGATTAATTTGGTATACCTAGTTGCTACCCACGAAATTTCGAAATCCTATCACGATTGATTCAGAAGTTACAGCACTGGCCGATTACTATGCACTTCTCTTATATCAATCTTCAACGAGGCTCAAGGGATAATCTCTCCCTTTACCGCTTCCTTGATCGGCCACTGGCCGCAAACAGAATTCTCACAGTTCTGCTTTTCTTACGTAGAATACACTTGCGTATTTATTTGACGTCCATAAATGATTATTGTTCAGAAAATGGAGCCAACATAAATTCTTTTCAAATGAGACATTAGTATTATCATGTATAGTTGGACTCAGGTTTTTTAAAATAGTACAGT